GTATGGAGTTTTGATAATTTATTCACACATTCCTCTACAGACAAGCGGTCTAGTGTTTTGTTTCATAAACGATGCTAAAATTCACATTCTTGTATTAACATTCTTGTATATTTTTGTATTCCTTGTAGTAATAATGCTTTAGCTTCAGTAGGATAGATTCTTAAGAATGAGATTGTTGGGTTAAGGGATATGCCTAATTAAGCAGATACTGTTGGATCGCTTTCCACAAGTACAATGCCACTAACAGTCTGGAAAGGTCTGCATTTCTTCTCCTTGTTTAATCTTACTGCTACTAGAAGAAATGTGGACTAAAAGTGTAGAAACATGGAGTTCTCATGACACTTTACTAATACAAGGCATCTATACATCCTTGCTCCCACCAGATGTTGTCAGCGTTTAAAATTGTACCCATCTCTGTTCAAACTACTCATCCAATGAGCACCAACTAAAAAAGCACCAGCTGAACGGTGCCTTTCTGAATTTTTTGGAAAAATTTCTGCCTCCACGGTCTCATTCAACACTGTGTGAGGCCTTCGCCTATACCTACTGCATATCATACCTTGTAATGAAGGGTGTGCGTGCACGTAATTTGTGTCCTTCACTGGAGGTTGAAGAGAGCGTGCCTTCCTCCCACCTTTGTATCCTCTATTTGCCCAGCACAGCGATTTATACTCAATAAACACTTCTTGTTGAATGAATCAGTGAATGAAATTTGTGAGTCAAGTCCAGAGCAGCAGAAAATGGCCAAACGCTGGAGTCTTTGTATTTCAGGCCAAAGAGCCTGGAACGTATTCAATGTTGATTCAGAAACCACAGGAAGTGTCTGAACCGGACCTGGAAAGACTAGAGTTGAAGCCCAGAGATTTAGTAATGAGGCTGGAACAGGACCCCGGGAGGAAGCAAACAGACCCTTAAACAATTACTGGGAGTTGAACACCCAATTTTTATAGTGCGTTTTTTTTTTTTTTTTGAAGATTTTATTTATTTATTTGACAGACAGAGATCACAAGTAGGCAGAGAGGCAGAGAGGCAGGGAGAGAGAGAGGAAGGGAAGCAGGCTCCCTGCTGAGCAGAGAGCCCCATGCAGCCTCCATCCCAGGACCCTGAGATCATGACGTGAGCAGAAGACAGAGGCTTTAACCCACTGAGCCATCCAGGCACCCCTACAGTGTTTTTGTTTTTTTTTTTAAAGATACTTGCTGAATTTAAGTTTGGTCAGTGGTCCTGAGCTTATGCAGAGTTTCGTTTTGTTGCAGTTTTATTACATACGGTAGAAAAATTAGAAAATATAGAGAAACAAGGTAATAATTCTCAGTAATTCTACCATCCAGGGAAAATGATGAGTAGGTACAATTTTGGTGGAAATCTTTTTAACACCTTTTCCTATGCATAAATGCAATAAAATATATTTTAATATATAGAGGATATATGAAATTTTATTTCTTTCAGCATTTTTAATTCTTATTTTATTATTATTACTATTTATTTGTTATTACATTTTCCTTATAAATTAAGTATACTATATTTATATATTAAATACGAATATTTTATATATATATATACACATATTATGCACACACACATATATAGTCTTTTATGTTAGATAGAAAACAGCATCTACCTTCAATATTGTATCTTGAGGACCTGATACAGAATAAATACTCAATACACATCTATTAAATGACTGAATGATAACTCTTCGTTGTCCTTTGCCTTTATGTGGAGATTTTAATAGTTTTGCTAATTCATACAGCAAATAGTTAAAGATGACTTGTTCTAATGTCTCTATAACTAATGCACTTCTTTTTCTTGTTTTATCTTATTACTACTAGAAGAAATGTGAATTTAGAATACATAAACATGGGCTTCTGGAGATATCTTATTGATACAAACAATACCTAGACATCTTTTTTTCCAAAGATTTTGTTTTATATTTGATAGAGAAAGAGAGAGAGAGCACAAGCAGGGGGAGCTGCAGAGGGAGAGAAGGACCCTAGGATCATGTCCTGAGCTGAAGGTAGATGAAAAACCAACAGAGTTGCCCGGACACCCCAATACCTAGACATTTTCTTAAGCAGTGATTTATTCATCTTTGAAATATGAACATGAATTATTTGATCAAAAGTATTATTCACTGAACAAACACCAATTTCTTCCCTTCCCAGATTCTAGGAAGGAGAAAAGCAAAAGAGTGTTCAAAGAATGTTAATTTACAGAGACTCTCTTGGTTGGAACATCATTATAGACTTAGTACTTGTGCTCTGTTTACTCACTGCCTAATGCAGAGCCTGAAACAAAGTAGGTGAACAATAGGTATGAATAAATAGAAAAATAGTGAACACAGACATATTAATAATCTCTCTTCTCCCATATTTTCATTCCTTTTCTAAGTGGTGTGGATTTTTAGTACTTGTTAGCCACTTTTTTTCCAAGATTTTATTTATTTGTCAGAGAAAGAGCGAGAGAGCACAAGCAGGGGAATGGCAGGCAGAGAAAGAAGCAAGCTCCCCATTGAGCAAGAAGCCCAACATAGGGCTCCATTCCTGGATCCTAGAATCACAACCTGAGTCCAAGACAGACACTTGACTGAGCCACCCAGGCGTCCCAAGCCACTGCATCATTATCCATAAAGGCTGGATACAGGTTCATATGAGAAAATTCCACATTTAATACAAAAACATATATTTAACTGTTAGTATTACTTTCCTTCCTTCAGTCTTGACTTTACTCCTTAGAATAATGAAGCAGCATCACTGGGTTTTATCTATACTCCCTTTCTCATCAGAGAAAAAGGACAAGAGGCAAGGGAAATAACAAGGATTGTGAACCCACAAAAACAAGGGGGACTAGCAACTCAGTTATACTTATCTTTGTATTTCTCAAAAATAGCTAAAAAATTAGCTCAATCAAGATCTTTTTTTAGGTTAAAGCTTGGTGTAAGGACTACATTTTTCCAGTAGGTGGCAGTGTTTTCTTTCTTCAGCACAAGTAGAATTCTTAAACATTTGCCTCAAGGTTTGTTGGTTTTGTTTTTTTTTTTTTTAAATTTTACTATTCCTTCAGGAACCTGCAGGTGACAATAAATAAGTTAGTGAAACTGAGGTTTCTTTCACTTTTTTTCTTTTCTTTTTCTTTCACTTTAAAAAAAAATCACCCTTGTTGATTTCAAAAGCCTCAGATGCCCAACTTGAACTTCTGCTGCTACTGAAAGCAAGATATACGTACACCAGGGTAGATAGCTCTAATCCTCCTCCCCATTTCCTGACCCAAGTTATTACTAAGGACTAGCTAATAGAGGGTAATGTCTCGGAGCAAATGCCGACAAGATTTTCTGCCTAATAACAAAACAAAACAAAAATAAAACACCGACTTTCGAATTCTCGATTTTAGGGAAGATTCATTAAATTATGCAGATGTCTTTCCTGGTTGGTTAATAATGAACTTGAAAAATTATTCGCATACCCTATTTTAATGGTAACACCTAAACTTTGGTAGTTCCACAAGACCTCTGAATACTTCCAACAGATACGTGTTGTCCCATGTCTGACACGAAGCAAACGGTGCAGAAACTAGGTTTTAAGAAGGAAAGCAGGACTGAAATTCCAGTGACATATGCTGGAGTTGAAAAACGGAAATGTGAATTAGTGGGATAATATCTCGAATACTTTATCTACAAAAATATTGTGTTAGCGAGAGTAGGGAAGCGCGCCTTTCACCGATTTCTCAGAAGTATTCTTTTATAAACAAAGCTTCAAGTCACAGGAGAAAATGTTCAAGGGCTCAGTGTTTCACCGAAAACACGGAGAGAGCTGGATTAGGCCATCAAGTCCCCCCCGCCCCGCCCCGTAAATATTCACCTGATAATAGAAGGTACAGCGTTTTTTAGGGTTTAGGGGGTTTTTAAGCCATCCTCCACTTTCCAGACAATCCGGCAGCACTCGTGCACCCCACCTGGTGCCTCTCTGACCCCCGCCGCGCCCCCCTATTCTCTCCGGCACGCGTGGACCTCTGACCCAGGCCCGGCGTCGGCCTGGCGCACTGTCCAGGTCCAGGTAAACTGCCCAGCCCCGGGACTCAGACGCGCTGACAGGTGGCCTCGCTCGCCTTCCTGCCGCCCAGGGCGGCGCTCTTCTCCATTCCGGGCCCGCGGCCACAGCCCGCGCCCCAGGCACAGCTCCCAAGCTGGCCCCAGAAGTCGGGCGGCTTCCCCAGGGAGAGCGAGGCCCGAGAGGGGCGCCGGGTCTCCCGCGAGGCCGCCGACAAGAGCAAAGTGCAGCCAAGGCCAGAGCCCGGTGAGGGGTGATCAAGCCGGGCACTTCTCGCGCCGCTGGGACCAGGGCCACAAGGAGCCCGACACCCACGCACGTCCAGCTCCGCGTACCGCCCCTCGGTTTCCTTAGCTTTGCTCCGCGACCCTCGGAACCCGCCCACGCCCCCTCCACGCCCACCCCCCCCTCCCCAGCGGCAGTGACCCCAGCTCTAAACCACCCGCCGGCCAAACCGATCTGCTACCCCCGGGCCCCAATGGGACCCAGGGGTCACCGGAGTCGGCGAACCACATTCCCAAGGACGAGCAGCCGGTGGCAGCACCGCCCCCTCTCAAGTGCCCTTCGGGTCCTCTATGGCCAGCACGCCCGCGGCTCTAGGGCCCTGACCTCTCCAGAACTCGCTGGCGGCCAGGGGAGGAATTCACTCGGACCCCTCCCCTTCTCCAAACTTCTTCCCTCCGCGGGGCGGTTCTTCCAACCTGACCCCTCTGCGCCATCCGGCTCCTCCCTCTCTGCTCCCCTCCCCTTTTCTGGTCCCCACTTAGGAATCCGCCCCCCCCACCCCCGTCGCCGGCCGGGTCCGGGGATCCTCCCCCCGACTCCCCCCCGCGTGCCGCCGCCGCCGCCTGGGTTCCTCTCCCCCCTCTCGGGCGCTCCCTGCCAAGCCCATGATGTAATGGTGTATGTTAATCAGTAGCATGTGGGGAGCTCCGGCTCCGGCGGCTCAGTCCTCCGCGAGCCGACACTGGAGGCAGCAGCAGCGGCGGCGGCGGCGGCCCGGACCCGCAGCGCCGCACTCTCTCAGCGCCGCCCGCCCCGACGGCATGGCCCGCGGCCCGCGCTCCGGGCGCCCGCAACCTCTCTGAGAGCCGCCGCGGCCCCCGACCCACGAGTGGGGTCCCGAGCCGCCGGGATGAACCGCGCCGAGGTGAGCGCCCCCACCCTTCCGACCCCGGGAGGGGATCTGCCGGCCACTGGGTCCCCTTCCCGAGAGACCTCCCCCTCTGCTCGAGAACTTCTGGGAGGCGGGAAGAGGGATGCTGGCCCCTCGAGGGCTGAGGCGCTGGGCTCCTCTCTCCGCCGCTGGCGGCCACCCGGACAGGGATAAGAGTGGGGGAGCCCCCCGAAGCTGAACTTTCTTCTTTGCGGTCGTTGGGGGGCGTGTGCGGGCGGCGTGGAGCTGCAGTCTCCGCGGAGCCGCCCAGCCCGCCGGGGGAAACAGTGTTTCGGACTCAGGCGGTCTCCGCGCTTGGTGCGCGCCCGGGGCCGTGCAGTCTTCGGCCTGGGAAGCGCGGGCGAGGCGCTGGGACGGCGGGACCCGCCCGTAGGCGGTGGCAGTCAGGGCTGAATGCCTAAAGCGCACAGGCTCGTACACACAAACGCACACGCACGCACGCATCTGATCGCTCTGGGCAAAGCAGGCCCTCGGAGACCTCCCGGATGGGCTGGAGCGGCGCGGCGCGGCGCGGGGGAGCCGGGGCTCCGGCTGCGCCTCCCCCCGCTGGGCTCCGAGCTTTGGGTGGGGAGTTTATTTTTGTCTCGAGCTGCTGCCGCGGCTGCTCACGGCCTAAATCCAGAGGGGCGCCTGGCGGTGGAGATGCTGGCTGTTGCTGTAGATGGAGCTGCAGCCGCTCGGTTGCTTCTCCGGGAGGTGGAGGAGGAGGAGAAGAAGAGGAGGAGGTGGTAGAGGAGGAGGTAGAGAAGAAGGAGGAGGAGGTAGAGAAAGAGGAGGGGGAGGTAGAGGAGGAGGAGGGGGAGGTAAAGGAGGAGGAGGAAGAGGAGGAGGTAGAGAAGGAGAAGGAGGAGGTAGAGGAGGAGGAGGAGGAGGAAGGAACTCGGGCTGCTGCTCCCTCCGCCTCTGTTTTGCATTAGCCCCCACCCCCACCCCCGCGCCCCTTCGCAGCCGCATTGCAAGTTTTCCGCGGGAGGATCTGTTGCTGGTGCTGGCGTTTGTAGGCTCAGCCCTCGAGGCCACCCCGGGTGGGGTGTGTGGGGAGCACCAGCCGTTGGCGGCGGCAGCAACAGGAAGCCGTGGGGTCTCCTCACGCACCTGGGAAGGAGCCTTCTGGCCATTCCCAGAACGGGAATAGCTCCTTTCGCGCATCCGGGTGCGGAGGGGGGCTGCCGGAATTTGGGGGGACCGGCCCCCCGCGGGGCGCCCCCCCCCCCGCCCCTTCTGATGCACTCGTTTCCCCGGCGCGCTCTCTCCCTGGCCGAGGTCTCACTGCAGCCTTTCTCTCCTTCCAGTGGTGATCGCCGCTCGGGAATGCGGGTGTGAAGAGTCCGAGCAGCCGCCCAGCGGGAAAGAGACCCCGGGACGCCGGAAATCACCATCCCGAAGCTGCGAGAAGGGGGGGAAAGAGAGCATTCTTTCAGTTTGTGTGCCTTGTGGGGAATTTTTTTAATCGCTATTTTTTTAAAAAGAAACATTTCCGTGCTACTGTCTGTCATCATCTCTGGGGAAATCAGCCAGAACCACCGGAACGTAACCAAAACCAGACGACAGAGGCAGGAGCCGAGGCCGTACCTGCAGCGTCCGGACACCAGAGCCACCTTGGAACCGGAACGCGTCTCCGGCGGCCACGGGGCTGCGGCTCCGCCAAACTTTGGGGCGGGCGGGGCGGGCTGGGGCGCCGAGGGGGCTTCGTAGACCGAGGGCCGCCCCCTAACCATGATGTTTCGCGACCAGGTCGGGGTGCTGGCGGGCTGGTTTAAGGGCTGGAACGAGTGCGAACAGACTGTTGCGCTGCTGTCGCTGCTTAAGCGCGTGAGCCAGACCCAGGCCCGCTTCCTTCAGCTCTGCCTGGAGCACTCGCTGGCCGACTGCGCCGAGCTGCACGTCCTCGAAGGGGAGGCCAACAGCCCCGGTAAGTGCGCAGCCACGGCTGTCCCGCCTGTTACCCCCCCCCCCCCCTCCTCCCCCCCCCCCCTCCTGCTTCCCAGCCTCCGGCCCGGGCCCGGTCCCCGCCCGCCTCCCAGCGGGTACACGGAGGGCGCGAGCCGGGGCCCTTGGCATCTCAGCACCACCCCCGCCCCCACCCCGTCCCTGCCGCCCACTTACCTCCGCTGGCCGCTTTGGTTTTTTGCCCACTGTCAACTCCTTCAGCCCATTCCGTGTGGTAGCCACGGTAGCATGAATGATTGATTTTTCTCTCATGCAGTTTCCTGGGAAATAAGTAAGTCAGGTCACGTAGAGTCTGGATTTTCTGGGCTTTTTTTTTTTTCTTTTTCCCCCTTCTTCTTCTTCTCCTTCTGGGCAACGTGGCTCTCTGTATTTCAGCAACACATGAAGAAGCCGGACTGCCCTTCAGAGAGCCGAGCTTTGATTAGGCTGTATGAGGAATACATGGACATTCAATTTTATCATTCGTTTCCCCCCATGGTTATTCCAGTTTTAGAGCTCTGTCTTCAGACTCAGACGCAGGTGACGCTACAGACTAAAATGATATTTGCAGGTTGTATTCTATGGGGTTATACTGACCAATCACGACCTTATCGTGTTGATTATGGATCTTGTAGAAGGGATCTTATGTAAAGGGTCTCCACGGAGAGAAGGCGTGAATCGGGGTCTGTCATGCTCTTTGTCGGAAAACTTTGCTGAATATAACAATTGTTTCACACTTGGCTAGTATTTACAGACATCTAAACTAGTATAGAAAGTGAATATACTGGGAACCTGCTGCAGTTTTCTATTTGCTAGTATGGGTGGTGACAGACTGAAATTATATCTTGGGGTGGGGAAGTGGGGGTAAGGATGGGGGATGGGGGAATGGTCTGTTGGTCGGATAATTTTGGATAGGGCAAATTCTTTAGTTCATGCTGCAGCAGGAGGGTGAACAGAGCCCCCAGTGTTTACGCAGAGGAAAGAATGCAGGGTCCTCTTCCAGCTGTTCCATGTTAAAGCCGCCAGTCTGCAAGACTCAGCAGAGGTCTGGGCTGCCTTTGGATGACAAGGTCCAGTCCAGGGCAGCAGGGCCTGGGAGACACCAGAGTGAGTGAGTGTGCTGTCTGGGCAGCAAGAGGAGAGCTGGCCTTCTCCTCACTCCTCCTCCCTGGTGTGGTGCTCATGAGGCTGAAAACCCTTGGATGGGATGTTTCCATATATAGAATCATAGGCTGGAAGTGAGCCGGGAAATCCTCACAGCCCTTTTCTTAACCAGACAGGACTGGACCCAGAGGTCCCTGTGCTGCCATGTGTGAAAGGCCACATGAGAGAGATCACACAGGCCCCACTGGGATTTAGCCAGAGCCCAGACAGCCCACCCCCTTACAGGGGTGGCAGTGGGGGGGGGACCCTTTCTGTTCAGTTCCACATTTATAAATAGCTGAAGGGCCAGCCTCCTTCATAAGGGTGTGGAAGCATAACTAGGAAAACCGATGATCTACTCTCTTGACTTCTGTCCTTGATATGACAGGGTGGCCTGGTTCAGCAGCTCAATTTTGTTTTCTCAGGTTTGACAAACAAGGTTATGTAAACTTTCGGGTGTTAGAGAATGCAGGGGATTTCAGTATAGCCATCGACGTCCAATGCTTGACTTTACCGCTTGTAGGGACTATTTCAAAGAATGGTAATGAATCTTTAGGTGACTCAAATGTTAGAGCAACATTTTTACCCTTCGAGTTAAAGGAGACTATTTTCCCCCACGTAGCAGCAGTTCAGTAAGTGAAAACATTCAATGTGTGGGGCAAAAAGAAGTTGCTTGCTTTAAAAACCTTGCCATTGAATAAACCAAGAGAAAAATGAATTTCTCTGAGTTTTTAAAAGTCACTTGGTAATTCCCTCCCCCCGCCCCGCCCCAAATTTTATTTCACTACACTTACCTGTTCATGTTGCCAAATGCCATAGGGATACCAAATCTAGAGCCATTATGTAAGACAGGGACCCTTTTCCAGTTTCTGAATTAATCATTCCACCTGATTTTGCTTCCTTGGAAAACTTCACACTTGCTTTGTTGTATGGCCAGGACAGAAATTCATTAGTAAGGGTGTGTGTTGAGTCGATTTACTTCTCTAGGAGGATCATAAAGAACATCAAGCTTTGTCGTTATCCATCCATGTCTGGAGTATGACTCTCTTATGTACCTGGAACCTAGCCAAGAGCCAGGAAAGGGGCAAAAATTCCCACACGGCAATCATAATAGAGGGCAGAAATTATGGGAGAATATTTCAAACCCTTTCTCAGAACATACTTACACTTGTTTTAGACAACAGTCCTAACAATTTTTTTAATGTGAAAAATTAATCCATGGTCTATTAGGGGTAGCACCTTTAGAATGGGATGAGGGGCTGCTGTCACCAGCAGTGCAAGGTGACCCTAGACAGGTTGGCCACCGGGAAAGTGATAGAAGCATTCTTACTTTCGACACAAGAATTGGGAGCAGAAGCCCTCAGGTTTGGATATGTGAGGATAGAAACGCTCAATTGATCTTGTAGGCATTACTCTGTAATAATGTAAATCAATAATTACTATTTAGCATGAATGAGCGTGAACTACCAAAAAGGGTACGCTTTCAAGTGCAGTCTTTGAGAAGAGAGGGAGATATGCCATAAACTTTGAAAATATTGACACTCAAGATAATTAACCTCCAAGGCAGTTTTGGTGTGTAAAGCTCTTACCCATTCAGAAAACTAGGCTGTGTAGAATGACTCATTCATTGGCTGGCTGGGGTTTCCTATACCAAAATCATCATGTATCACTTACTGTACTTTGTGATCATCAATTAAAAAGCATATATGTCTTTTGGATTTGAGAGATTTTAAACCTTGCTGAATGGGAACCAAATTCCTATCTAAGGTATGATCTCAGTATAATAAAAAATTTAATTAGTCATAGTATGAACTTGGCTCTGTTTTCTCCAGGACTGACTTTAAATAGAGAGAATTTTTCACGTTAAGCATGGCTTGTTTGAGATCTGTGGGATGTATTTTGATACTAACTTTTTAGTCTCTTAAATTTAGCACTTATTGAGAATTTAGGGGTTCACTGGTTTATCCTTTGCCTTGGGTTCATGGTCATGTGAGATCCAAAAAATGGTTGAATCCATCCCTGTGGGCCTGTGTGTGTGTGTGTGTTTCCCCTCTAGATTTACCAATGGGTATTGCTAATGGTCACCTTCCTAAGTAGAGGCTGGATTCCAGAACCCTGAAATTGTAGATTTTAGTGCACTTTGATCACCAACCCAGATTAACCATGAGACTTCCGGCCAGCCTCAGTTTGTAGGTGAGTGTTTCTGGGGCTAACAATTCCTTTGATGCATTAAAATGGCAAAAATGGAACCCACTGACTTTATTTGCAGTTTCCTAAAGAGAAATAGGTTGTATGGCATTGTTTATTCATGACTTTTGTCATTTGGACTTGAAATATGTTTTGCGGTGGAAACAGTATAACAAATGGAGGTTCACAAGTGAATCCATGAAGACTTCCAAAACAGTGCATACTCTGGGGCAATTGCATATGTTTGTGGTAAATAAATGGCAAAAAGATTGTTGCTTTACTTATAATTAATACAAGAAAAAAGATGATCTGAAATGGCAGTGCTTGAGACAAAACCAGTTGTGGAAATTGTACAAGGACCTGTGTGCCCATTTACTTTCATTAGAGGATGAAGATGTTGACTCTGTGATTTTTATGGTGTTTGGTTTCCATAGTGTGGGTATGCCATACCCCAAGGTGCTTGTTTTTATTTTTATTTTTTTTTTTTTATAATTTTATTTTTTATAAACATATATATATATATATATTTTTTCCCCCAGGGGTACAGGTCTGTGAATCTCCACGTTTACAAACTTCACAGCACTCACCATAGCACATACCCTACCCAATGTCCATAACCCCCCCCAACCCCCCTCTGCCCAGCAACCCTCAGTTTGTTTTGTGAGATTAAGAGTCACTTATGGTTTGTCTAAGGTGCTTGTTTTTAGATCACAAATGGAGTCAAAGGAAAGCAGAAGAATGGAGATTTTCCTGATGATCCTGGAGGAGACCTTGTGTGTAGTTCTTCCTTTCGCTTATTCATCAACATTCATTTTCTGACTGCCTACTACTTTCCTGCTCCTGTGTTATGCAGTGGGGGGCACAGAGGTGCCTTGTTATATTTCAGAGCCTGGTCCATAGATGCCCAGTGTCGAGTAAATGACTAATATGATATCATAGGTGCTGAAGCACAATTATGGGAATAAAGAGGGTGAAGGAAGGGCTTCTGGGAGCATTGTGAACCTAGCAGCTAATTAATTGTCTGGGGGAGTCCGAGAACATTTTACTGGAAAGGAGATATGTTTGAGTTGAATTTTGAAGGGTGACTAGAAGTTGGTTCAATGTGTCCAAAGGATTGTAGATAGTAGGCGTGAAGGCATTTTTCAAGCAGAAGGGATAGCTTTGATAAGAATGTTGCCTCTTGGGGCACCTGGGTGGCTCAGTGGGTTAAAGCCTCTGCCTTCGGCTCAGGTCACGATCCCGGAGTCCTGGGATCCAGCCCCGCATCGGGTTCTCTGCTTAGCGAGGAGCCTGCTTCCTACTCTCTCTCCCTGTCTGCTTCTCTGCCTACTTGTGATCTCTCTCTGTCAAATAAATAAATAAATAATCTAAAAAAAAAAAAAAAAAAGAATGTTGCCTCTTGAAGGGGCTTGTGCAGGAAATAGTGCGTTCAAGGTGACTAGAGGAGAGCAGAATGTTGACCATGAGGAAGCTAAAGTTAAAACAGAAGCTGTGGGTGTGTGGGATTTGCCAGCTAAGATGTTTGGATTCAATCCTGAAGAGATGTTAGAAAGCCCAAGAAGGATTTTAGGAAAGGAGGTAGAAGATGGAAGGTGTGTGTGTGTGTGTGTGTGTGTGTGTATTTGTACACTTTTGGGAAGGAGATTCTAGCAT